AAGTTTGAGCCTGAAAGAGGAGAAATAGCTTACGGGAAAAGAAGTTTCTCCATTTTTACTGGAATGGGGACTTGAAGCTAATTAGTGAGAGAGATTTTTCAAATTAAGTAATTTTTAAGGTAGTTTTAGATTAGTTAATATCTGCTAGATTGCCTTTGAACCCAGTGAAAAAAAAATAATTTATAAGGTAACAAGCCAATAGCAGACTGAAGGGTGGAGACATAGTGTATATATCCTGGAAGATCACCCAAGAAATATTTCTTACCCCATGCATCACACATTCACCCCTTCCAGTAGGATCAATATATGTGGAGTCTTGAACATGGAACTTCTACGTGTGGGTTAGTAAAGTCTGCTATACTTATAAACATGTTTCTTCCCCAATAGAATCTAAACTCTTTTTGAGAGGGTAGGAATTCTTTCATTTTTGTCTTAGTATCTCCATAACCTAGTACAGTGCTTTGCACATGATAGGTACTTAGTAAATGCTTATTGACTGATAATATCTTTCTTCTTTCTTTTCTATTTTCATTTTCCTCTCCTTCATCCTTACTTTATCAGGCCCAGGGCTGGGCCATCTCCAGTTGTCCTGATCTATATCTGGCCACTGGACCCAGATGGCTCCAGAGGAGAGAGTGAGGCTGGTGACTTTGCACAGCCCTTCCTCACTTAAATCCAATTCACTGCAAGTCATGGCATCATCTTCCTGAAGTCATGGTCCTCCTCAAGAAAGAAGGACAAATGGGACAGCTAGGTGTCACAGTGGCTAGAGCACCAGCCCTGAAGTCAGGAGTACCTGAGTTCAAATCCGGCCTCAGACCAAACACTTGACACTTACTAGCTATGTGACCCTGGGAAAGTCACTTAACCCCAATTGCCACAAAAAAAAAGAATGAAGGACAAATAACAATCAGGCTCAGAAATGTGTTGACTTGCTTCCCTTGTGTACCACATTTGAGCATTCACCATATAGTGCTGCCTTATAGCACAGATACTACTAAGTCTCTTGCTAGTTTTGTCTTTCCTGATCCCTGGCAGAGTCCTTAGGCTCACCTCAAATGCCATTTCCTCCTCAAGACCTATTCTGATTTTCCTGTTCCTAGTACCCCCACCCCCAAAAGTACTTTGTGTATGTATACACATACAAATATATACACACATATATAATATATGATATACATATATATTTATATTCATCTATATTTGTACATGTACTTCTCCATCTCCTCTTCCCCACTATAGAATGTAGGCTCTTTGAAGGAAAGGATAGTCTCACTTTTGTCTTTGTATCTTTAGCACCTAGCAAGGTACTCTTTAATAAATACTTATTGAATATGCTTTCAAAGTTCATGCTTCCAAAGATATATGTTTTCAAGTTTCTAATCAATGCTTCAAAGTTGTCTGGCCATTACTGGTGATATCAGAAACCTAAATAAGAGTTAATGAACTAAGAACACATCATTGTATGGTGAAAAGAGCAGAAAGGCTACATGATATTGTGGATAAAAAGCTGGACTTGGAGTCAAGAAGACCTAGATTCAAGTGTTGCCTCAGCTGTGTACTGGTGGCATGACCCCAGGCAAATCACTTGACCTCTCAGTTAGATTATCGCTACTGGCAGCATTTCATGGACTGGACTCCACCAGGATAACTCATCACCAAGAAACGCATCAACCTGCTTGCATTAGTTTTGGTACTCACATCTCATCACTACCCTGCTATTCTTTGCCCCTCTGATTGGAGGGCCAGAGCAAAAAGCTCTTCCAAGGCCTCTAAGGGACATAAAAATCATTTAGTCCAATGCCTTTATTTTGCAGAGGAAGAAACTGAGGCCCACTGTGAACTCCTTGAGAGCAGGGACTGTCTCTTTTCTTTTTATCCCTGGCACTTAGCACAGTGCCTGGCAGTAATAGGTACTTAATAAATGTTTATTGACTGACTGATTGACTGGTCAACAGCTCTCTAAGACAAGTTGTAAAGTAAGTGCTAATCCATACCACTGGAGGAATTTCCACACTGGGAGCTTCTTATGCCAGTGAGATCACAAGTTTAGTCTAAATAAATAAAAAGGACTTCGGCATTAGACACCTTAGGTTCAAATCCCAGTGTGGCTTTTGCAGATGCCTTTGCCATCTTGAAAAAGTTATTTAAGTTCTCTGTACTCCAGTTTTCTCATCTTTAAAATGAAGGGAATACGTTTGGCAGAGTCAATGATTCTAGGTTTGTTGTTCAGTCATTTCAGTCATGTCCAACTCCTTCTCCAGTTTCATTTTACAGATGAGGAAATTGAGGCAAATAAGGTTAAATGATTTGCCCAGTGTCACACAGCGAGTAAGTGTCTGAGGTCAGATTTGAACTCAGGAAGATGAGTCTTCCTGATTCCAGACCAGGCATTCTGTGTACTATGATGCCACCTAGCTTCCCCTACTAGAACTCAGGTTGGTTATTTTTGTTGTGCTTCTAGAACCTTGTAACTACAGGGATATCTTAGGCATTGCATCCCTGACAGATTCTGGGAAAGTTCATTGCCTCTAGGGGGAACATGGAAGACTTATGTAACCTGCTTGTGTAGCAGTCTATAGTCAATTTCTCATTAATATTTTACTATTTTCTCTGAGTATTGCAAAGACCCCCACAAAGCTGCTAATCCTTGGTGGCTTGGTTCTTAATGAATCCATTAACTTTGTGTGCAGTTGTATAGATTCATTAATCTCCAAACTTTCTATGCTTTGTCCTTTCCCCCACCCCCACACTTGTCTCTCATCATTGATTATATTTCACCAAGGTTACATAAATATTTTGCTTTTTTAAAAACTAACAAATAGATTCATACTGTTCAGGCTTGACTTAGAGTCTATGGTGAGTCTCCTCAGATAGCTATGTAACCCTTCTGGCTCAAGGTTGGCATTTGCATGACTCTCCTTGTTTGTGGAGAGAATGATCACCAGATGCTCGATTTTGCCACCTTGTGCGGCCTCTCAAAGCCTGAAGCCAAAATATCAACCGTCTCTCCATGTTCAAGACTCCACATATATTGATCCTACTGGAAGGGGTGAATGTGTGATGCATGGGGTAAGAAATATTTCTTGGGTGATCTTCCAGGATATATACACTATGTCTCCACCCTTCAGTGTGCTATTGGCTTGTTACCTTATAAATTATTTTTTTTTCACTGGGTTCAAAGGCAATCTAGCAGATATTAACTAATCTAAAACTACCTTAAAAATTACTTAATTTGAAAAATCTCTCTCACTAATTAGCTTCAAGTCCCCATTCCAGTAAAAATGGAGAAACTTCTTTTCCCGTAAGCTATTTCTCCTCTTTCAGGCTCAAACTTGGAACAATAGGCTTAGGCAAAACCATTTCTACTACCCATATAATTTATTGACAAAAACAAATCATAAAAGATGTAGATAGATATTTAAATAACGTATCAACCCCGAGAAAGACCGTAGTCAGAGTCAACTCTGTGCTCTGGAGAAGAAGAAGACAGTCATTGATGTGAGTTCTTTCACCAATAAGGAGAATCTTATGCAAATGCCATCATTGAGCCCCAGGTTGCAGTTAATAAGCAAATCTCTATAGAATTATTTCTTCAACAGTCTCTAAGATTGGCAGTGGTGTCTGAGCTCCTCTCTAGATCTAAATCCCATGATTCTTATTTTACAGACGAGAATCCTGACCCTCAGAGTGGTCCAGTGACTAGCCTAGTATTGTACAGTTAGTCAAAAGTGGAGTGGTACTCCCTTCCAAGTTGTCTGATTTCAAGGTGCCTAACAACAGAGTGGGATAAGCAAAGCCCAGGAAGATTGATGGGTATTCTTAAACCTGAACTGCAAGTGGATATGCTAAGAAGGGATTGGTTGGTACTATAAAGCTGAAACTGTGCTGAGTAACTGAATTAATGCTACTATTAACTGCAGAGTATCTGAACTCTAGTCTTTCCTCCACCATTATAATAAAAATTACCAGGCACCTAATGGCTTGAATCCCTAAATATTGAATGGCTGAAGATTGAGCAGGATGAAGAGTAAAATGTGGTAAAATGAAAATGAAAATGCAGGAAAAATTGGAAGAGGAGCAGGTTGGAACTCAGGGTATGCAATTTTACTGTCCTCTTCTGGGAGTGTCCTGAATAGCTTAAGTCTCAGTGATTAACAAGTACAGTGTATGTAGGGTTGGGACTGCACCATTATGTCATCATTCATAAGTCCTGTAGACGCCGAAATTTCAGCCCATCCTTTTCCAGCATCTTGGAAAGCCATAATCTTGGCTTCATTGCCTCTTTCCACTTCTAAATCCATGCTTTGTCCTATAGGCCTTGGGGGGACATGTATTTCCCACCTTCATTGCAAAATAAGCAGCTGAAATTAAGCCAAGGGAAGGATAGAGGATAAAAAAGAGAATTGGACCTGAATTTTCTCATTTGGTTCCCTTTGGAGTAGATGTTTCTTATTGGTCCTCAGTGTGATCATCATTGCTTATGTACTCTCAGTTGCCACTCTTCCAGGGGGTAGGGAATGAGACCTGAAAATAGAGAGGATGAGAACCAAGATTGAGGGCCTCCAACACCAGCCCTGGGGTTTTATGTGGTATCATACCATACAATTATTCTTATATAACAAATAATAAAATGTTTTCCTTACAATAACCCTGTGAGGTAGGTAATTTAGATACTATTATAGTTAATGTAAATGTTATCAGTCCTATTTTATGGGTAAGAAAATTGAGGCTTAAAGAGGTTCCATTGAATAACCAATGTCAGAGTCAGAAAAAAAACAGGATTTGAATCCTAGTCTTCTGATCCCAGTATGGATTGTCCTTTTCATATATCATTCATTCTGCCTGGATCTCAGATGGAAGTTCTCCTCTTCCCACACTCCCACCAGTTACTCTTTTAATTACTTATTTTAATTATTTAATTAATTTAGTTAATTATTTGTATGTGCCACATGACTATTTCTGAGACCTCATTACAATACAAAATTGATATATAAAGACCTGGGAAAAAGAGAGATGTTTATTTATGTTTTTATCCAAAGGGCTGGCCTTCAGTGCAGGAGGCCAGAGGGTTGCAGCCTATGTCTTCATTATTGTAGTATACACTGTTTTCTCCACTGGGTACTCCTGTGTCTCCAAAGCTGTGCTCTGGTTGTCCATGGGAAAAGTTAAGATGGCATATGTAACAGACTGTTTTTGAGAATCAATCTGTAGAGAGAAAGGGAATATATTTAGGGGGTCAGGGGAAGGAGAGAACAGGAGAAATGAACAATCAGCTTAGAGCAGTGTTTCTCAAGCACCTATGGACAGTGAGAACAGGGATGACCTATTTCAGACTTCTCCCCATAAGACATCACTGATGTGCTACCAGAGATTTCCCCAGAAGTGCTGGCTCTTTTTCTGAGATAGATTGCTGATACAACTGTCCCTCCTCATATATCCCATGCCCTTTCCTTAACCCATCTATGTCTATCCTTCACTTGTAAGTGGCAGATAACAAAGTATGTTACAGACACAACCTTACTTGTCCTCATTAGTCCCTTGGCCAAAGCAACTGCTGGATGGACATACTGAGTTGGAGTAGGAGAGGAGTCACATAGTACAGATGGGGTAGGTGAGGGAACATATAGAGAGGTCAAGTGACTTGTCCCAATATCACACTGCCAGTGAAGGATTAAGGTAGAGGCAAATTTAGGAATCCCTATTTGAATCAGCACCCATTTCTGGGACAGCAATTCTGCAAAACTCCTAACCTGAGCCTGGGAGTCGAAATTTCACAGTCCCTGTCTCTGAGCTTTCTGCCCTTCTTTTCTTCTCATCTCTCATCATTATCCCTGTCAAGCTATTTTTGAAAGCCCTCCCTCACATCTTTCCCTTTCCAGCACAGGAACCTATCACTCTCAATTTTCACCACCTTCTCTCCCCAGCCCACATGCTATAGAAGAGTTAGAAATGTACACAAAATGAAAGGTTCTAAAGCCCCTCACTTAGAAACCATTGAGACTGCAGGTTCCTCACCTCTGCCCTACACCTTTCCGTTCTATGATAAGATTAATTAGAATCTAATTTGGTGTTTCTTTCTTGAGTTATCAAGTAGGCAGTTTGGAGGGAAGTCCCTCTGGAGCACTGGGAATGAGGCCTCCTAGGTTAGTTTCAAGCTTCATCTCTGACTAGTTGTGATATTGGGGCAAATTATATAACCTCTATGTATCTCAGTTTTCTCAGCTGTACCATGAGGAGAATACCCTAGCCCTCCATCCAGAAGGAATCTCATGTAGGGAAGCAATAGGGTGAGACTACTCTAGAGTACTCCATCACTGGATGCTCGTCAGGTCAAACCCACTAACTGTAGGTGTTTTACAGGGTTCTATCCTGGCCCCTTTTCTCTTTTCCCTCTGTACTATTTCACTTGGTGATCTCATCAATAACCATGTAACTTAATTGCCCTTGCTATGCTGATGATTCTCAAATCTACCTATCCTGCCCTAACCTCTCTGTTGACCTCCGGTTTCATATTCTCCAACTTCCTTTCATACCTTTTGAACTAAATGTCTAGTTGAAGCCATTTTAAACTCAACATGTCCAAAGCTGAACTTGTCACCTTTCTTCCTAAACCGTACACAGGGCTGGGGAACCTGTGGTCTCAAGGCTGCGTGTGGCCTTCTAGGCCCTTGGGTGTGGCCTTTTGACTGAGTCCAAGTTTTACCAAACAAATACTTTTATTAAGGGGATTTGAAGTATGAAGTTTGGATTCAGTCAAAGGGCCACACTTGAGGACCTAGATGACCACATGTGGCCTCGAGGCTGCAGGTTCTCCATCCCTGCCCTACACCTTTCTAAACTTTCCCATTACTGTGAGGTATACCGTCATCCTCCCAGTCACCCAGGTTTGTGACCTAGTTGTCATCCTCAAATCCTCACTATTTGTCACCCCTCATTTCCAATCTGTTGCAAAGACCTACCAATTTCACCTTTGCAATACCTCTTAAATACAGTCCCTTCTCTCCTCTGATACAGCCAGCCATGGTGCAGGACTTCATCCACCTCATGCTTGGACTATTACAAAAGCCTGCTGGTAGATCTTCCAGCCACATCCTTCCCTCCCCCACCACTTCCCCATTCCCTCACTCCAATCAATCCTCCATTCAGCCACCGAAATGATTTTTCTAAAGTGCAAGTCTGGCCAAGTCATCTTTCTGCTCCATATATTTCAGTGGCTCCCTATCACCTACAGGATCAAATACAAAATCCTTTGCATGGTTATCAAAGCCCTTAACCCAGCTCCTTCCTACCTTTCCAGTCTTCTTACATTTTGCTCCCTGCCAGGTACTCTTTGATATAGTTACGCTGGCCTTCTTGTTGTTCCATAAACAAGACACTCCATTTCTTGGCTGGGCCATCCTCCATACCTGGAATGCCATCCCTCTTTATCCTACCTACCTAGTTTCCTTGGCTTTCTTTAAGTCTCATCTTCCTTTAAAGATCCCTTATATCCCTTGATTTAAGGAATCAAAATTCTCTTGAGATCCTTTAAAATCTCACCTTCTGCAGGAAGTTTTTCCTAATGCCATCTTAATTCTAACACCTTCCCTCTGTTAATTATTTTCCCGTAGTTTCCCCTTTGTATTGACAGCTCCTTGAGGGCAGGGACTGTCTTTTTGTATTTTTTTAAGTACTCTTTGTATCCCTAGCATTTAGCACAATGTCTGGTGCATGACAGGTCCTTAATTAATTTTTATTGACTGATTGTTCTACATGCAGAAGTATAGCCAGATTGTGCCAGTCAGGCGTTGGATATAACCAATTTGGGGGTGAAAGAACACCTCCATGACTCCCTATTTATGACCTGGAAGAATGTCCCTATCTGAGAGTTAGGACTAGAAATGCCATTATTGTTTTTTGCCGACTAGGAGTACAGAAGCGATAGAAGACCACACCTCTGGTGTAAAAGTCCTTGACTTTAAAGTGATTTTATCCTCTTCCTGGTGCAGAAACAATGGCACTGGGGAATCCCATGCTGTTATGTAAGTCATTTCAGGAGGGCTGTAGTCCATATTTTCTGGCATAAGGAGGATCAATGTGCAGCACTATTCTCTAAAGCTTGACCCTCTATAACATGACATATGGTGTCATGAACTCCCAGAATTTTCACCCTCCCAAAAGTTTTACCCATGAATCTGGGTATTTTAAAAGAGGTCTTTATTCCTTTCCAGAATTTATCCAGACTTCTCCCACTATGCTCCAGAACCTCTTCCTCCTGGAAGCTCACTCCAAGAACCCTTGGAATTCATACATTGGAAGCACCCTCTACCTCTGCAGCATCTCCCTCTGATTGACCTGCTCCACCAGAACCTCCATTTAAGGAGGGCACCAGGTCAGCCATATCTTCCTTCCTCTCTAGGCGGTGCTCTGAATTTTCTCTACCATACTCTTCCCATCCTGCCACCCACCTCAGGCTTAGAGTTGGGTTTTCACTTTCACCCTCTCAGTTTCTTTTTATGTTTTGCCTTCCCCCATCAGAATATAAGCACCTTCAAGTAAGGGACTCTTTCTGCTTGTATTTGCATTCCCAGTGCTTAGCACATAGAAAGTACTTAATGAATGCTTTTTGACTTGAGGATATTTGCTTCAATTGTAGGGTACCTACTTCAGAGGGAATCAGGAAGCATGATACAGTGGAAAGAGGGCTGGATTTGGAATTATAGGACCTGGGTTCAAATCCCACTTCTATTACTATCAGTGTGAGATCTTGGGCAATCCACCTAACCTGTCTAGGCCTCACTTTCCTTATCTGAAAAGTGATGGGGTTGATCTAGATGGCATCTAAGGCCCTCTTCTAGACCTAGATCTATGTAGGTGATCTACCCTGTTCTTAGATAGAACTTAAGTTGAACTTGAAAGAAAGTCAGATATCAAAGTGAATCTAGGCAAAAAAAAAAAAGAAACGAAAACTTAAGAACAACAATAAAAAACCTAAACACACAGGAACACTGATATCTCTGAACAGGACTATGTGTTGGCATTCTTAAGCCACGGGCAAGACTGTATTCCTTAGCCACTTCCACCCTTCCTCACTGATACTATAACTCAATCCCCAATCCCAGTTACTTCTTAAGGCATGGACACTAAGCCCAATAAGGGACTTTGTATGTGGCAAAAATCCAAATTTACTATGTTTTTTTAAAATCTTGTGTTGGCTACAGCAAAGGCTGCTGACTCCAGTCCATGACATCAAACTTGCTCACCGTTTTGTTGATATTGCCTTTCCCAAGATGTCTTCAAAATCCTTAGTACTGGGAATGGGAGTCATTGTAGGACATATGTACAGAGAGGAAGACTCCAGTACTTACCACAGTGCTGAATTCCACGTCTAGATTGCTTTGGGTAAGAGGATCCTGATTCGAGGGTCTCTCCTGTAGCTCCAGATTCGAGTAACAAGGTTCATTGTTTGGCTGCTCAGGAGCAACAGACGGGCTGGTCAGCACATTGGACAGTACCATGTAAATACCAGACCCAGAATTCTCATTGAGGATTATCTCCTCCCCTGGCTGACCCAGTCTTCTTTGCCTACTGACTCTCTCTCTGAATGCCCTCTACACTTTCTCATAGCCTTTGTGTCCTGCCTCCAAATTCACCCGAGTTCCTATCTGACTAGGCAAAAGCCTAGCTATATTGTTATCCCTTATCTGCAGACTTCTCTTACAGTAAGAGAGGAAGGTGGTAACCAGAGCCCCTGAGCACAATGCCTATGGCCCCTGATTGGGAATTATTGCCACATCTTCTTTGTTAGACATAGGAATAAAGACTGGGCCTGTGATTGCATTAGTATAACGAACTTTCTTTACTGAGTCAGATCTGCAACATGGAGTCTTACAGATGCTCAGATCCCTGAAAGGCTGACTTGCCTAGGGTCATGCAGACAATATGTTGATTCTGGGGCCAGCCTTCTATCCACTAGGCCATACCACTTCTCTACAGGAATGGATCAAAATAAAGATTCCATTGTGCCATGGGACATTATATAACTGCATTCTTTGCCTCTTTCCTTATCAGAGAAAGAATGGAGGAGGGGGATCTCAATTTCCCTCAGACCATAGCTTCTCTTACCTGATTAGAGTCCAGAAACACCATGGACTTCTCATCAGCTAAAAAGAAACAAAGATGGTTAGGAGTCACAGAGTCATTTCCATAGACCACAGAGAGTTGTCAGGGTGAAAGATGAGTAAACTGGGTCAGGATGATGGAGATTGAAGGGGAAAGAGAGAACATTCAGTGTCTTTATGTAACAGCTCTATTCTCTTCAGCCCAAGAGAACATAGTCTTCTTCAGAGTCAGCTGGCTTGGTGTGTAGAATAAGGATGACCTCAGAAATGGACTCATTAATTAAAAGGAAAAAGGAGAAGCAGGATAGGGTGGAGGAAAGGCAGAGGCAATCTACACTTTAGGAAATATGTCCATTTTCATAGAGCAGTGCCTTGCAGAATCTGAGACTGAGCTCTCTTTTTATTTCTCCTTAGGATCATGGCTCTAGAGCCAGATGGGATATCCTGGGCCATTTAGTGCAGCCCCCTCATTTTGTAGCTGAGGAAACCAAGGCTGAGGGAGGGGTGTAGGCAACTTGCCTAAGATCATATGAAAAGTAAATGTTAGAAGTAGATATGAAACCAGATTCTCTAACCAGTACTTGTGCTCTTTTCTGTATACTCTGCTATCTCCCCCTGGAGAGGACTCATGATTTCATTGTTATAGAGAACTCTCAATGAGGAAACTCTCTTTACCAGTACAGAGCTGGCACCTGCTCTACAACTTATCTTCTTGGACTTCAGGTTAAAAGGCAGTTGTGGTGAGTAAAGGGTAGTTCACAAACTTGTCTAGTCAGGTACGACTATGCACTTAATTCTATAGGCAGAGTATCACATTGGGACTTGGGATGGTGGCAAGGTGGCATCATGCACTAACTTGGGTGTGACAAGGAATCAGAAGGGAAAGATAGGATCCTTGATGTCTAGTGGCCCTGATCTAAAAAGGGAGGCATTTCACCCACATATTTAAAATATATACATTGAAAACATTAATAGATACGAAGCCCATTTTAGACAGGTTCATATGCATCTTAAACTATTGTCCCTCATTTTTCACAGTGCTTTTCCTGGACTAGATAGATCAACTGTGAAATAAGGAAGGTAGGAAATGGTCAGATGCTTAGCCTAACAGCTCACGTGCTTGAATTTTTCTTTGTGTACTTTTTGGGGAAATAATAATAATAACTAAAATTTCTACAGTACTTTCCACACATCTCATTTGTTTACCACAACAACCTTTGAGGTAGGTACTATTATTATTCCCATTTTACAGATTAGGTAACTGAGGCAGTCAGAGGTTAAATGACTTACTCAGGGTCATACTGCTAGGGAGTGTCTGAGGCCAGACATAAACTCAGGCCTCTGATTCTAGGACCAGCTCTCTAGACACTATGCCGCCTAAGGAAGTAGTCTGCCTTCTTGGGGCTGTTTGACAAGCCAAAGGACAGCTATTTTATTTCCCCCCCCAAATTTTGCAATGTCTCACTTGGAGGTGTCTCCTGGGCCTTCTTAACTTCAGGGACCTGAGTAGTGCATAGGCTGCTGCCTTCCTTCTTTGTGGCTCTCAGCCACTGTTTATGTCAAAAACAAAGATCTAATCAAAGATCATAGGGTCCCCTACTTGACTCTTCACCTTCTATTCAGGATTATGCCTTGCACCCCACTTACCACCTCTATTACTGATCAGGATAAGCTAGCATTGGGTAGGATTTACTGGAGTGATTGGAATGACTAGAGTTGAATAGGGTAGTCTAGTCAGGCTTCCTGGAAGAGGCAGTCTTTGAGTAATAATATTCTTGGGGATGACTTAGGGGGGCAGAAAAGAGAAAAGATATTCTCAGAAGGAAGGAGGAGGTAAGTGTGAATTGAGTATGAAAAACTTCAGGTGGGTTGACAAAGTTTACTTGACTATGACCCTGGCCTGGGGCAAAACAAGGGTGGCAACTAACGTAGGAGTCTTGTAGCCCTAAATCAAGAATTTAGCAGTTTTAGGGGCAGCTAGATGGCTCAGTGGATAAAGCACCGGCCCTGAAGTCAGGAGGCCCTGACTTCAAATTCAGCCTCAGATCAAACACTAGACACTTACTAGCTGTGTGACCCTGGGCAAGTCACTTAACCCCAATTGCCTTAAAAAAAAAAGAATTTAGCAGCTTTACTGAGAGCTAATTTTTCCAAACAGGGGAGTTAAGGGACCATTGGGCCCTTAGAGAAAAGTGCCCATGCTACTCAATGCCCTGAAGTTAAAGAGATATGAGAAACACTTCTACGTGATTAATAGTGAAGTTGGAGGAAAATGATATAAGCCCAGCTATCAAACAGAGGAAATGATTCTTCTTCAGCCTGTGAAACAGGTTACCGAGAACCGACTATTTCCTTCCCCAAAGGCCAAAAATACAGTTTTAAACTGGAGCATGTGAGTGAGACTGCTGTGTTTGAAGTGAAGGGGGAAGGAAAATTTGCCATGTGAAAGATATTGAAGATCTATTTCTTTCCTTCTCTGAAGATAACTAAGTTCCTCCTTTGCAACTTTCCATGGCTTTTGTTTTGAGTTTCTCTTTTTGGAGAGCCTTAGAAGTAAAGAGGGTCTGTGGTTAGAGCATCCACCTCACTCTGAACTGCTAGTGCACCAAGGAGCCCAATAAACTTAGGTGGCTTACTATTGGATATACATCCTAAGGAAGGAAGGAGGAAGGATAGAGAGTCCTGTTGGAGCAGAGGGATAAAGATACAGGGTATCTGGAAAACAATTTGAAAAAAGTTACAAAACCCTTTGACTCAGTGATACCATTACTTGCCCTATAAAACAAAGATATCAAAGAAGGAGGAAAAGGTCATATATGTACAAACATATTTATTTATATCGTCTTGTTTTGTGGTGGCAAAGAACTAAAAACTAGGATCCAAGCCAATTAGTTTGGTAATGGCTGAACAAATTATGGTATATGAATGTAATGGAATACTATTGCTCCATAAGAAATCATAAAGGAGATGTTTTGTAAGAACTGGGAAGATTCATATGAATTGATATAAAGTGAGAAGAACCAGGAAAACAATTTATACTCAAACATTAATATTATAAAAATGAACAACTCTGAAAGACTTAAGAAATCTAATCAACTATGATTTCAAAGACTGGTGATAAAGAATCTTATGACAGAACCTTATGACAGAAAGGTGATGGGACTAATGGACACACATTTTTGGACATGACCAATATGAGTATTTTTTTTTTGCTTGACTGTGCATATCTCTTACGAGGTTTTTTTTTTTAATAGAATGAGGAGCAGGGAAGGGAGAGACAACAAATACTAGATAATTGAAAAAAATTAACAGAAAAATAAAAAAATAAAAAAAGAACATGACCTGGGGCAGCACACTCACCCTTCTTCTGTCTCATTATTCTCCAAGCCAAAAACACAGCTCCCACCAATGAAATAATTAAGAGACTCAGAATCAAGAGCAATATCCCAGGCTTGTCAAGAATCCCAGATCTAGTGAAAAAAAGAAAATCCAAAGTAGTCGATGGTCTAATCCCTTCTTCTATCCCTCCCTCTTTCATGTCCAGGCACACATCCCAAGTTCCATCTGCACTTGGAAAACTGAGCTGCCAGAGCTGTACCGATGATTATAATCAACACTTGGAGAATGATGCAAAGAAAAACTTATTGGGAACTAATAAGTCTCTCTTGTTAACTAATAACCAAATGTAGAGCTAGGGTCCGGCCTTATATTTGCCACAGGGGCAAGTGATCCACAGTTAATGCCCCCCCATCTGAACATCAACTAGGGGAGAAGTATAGTCCGGTGGATAAGACCAATTACATGTCAGAAATGTGAAGATACAACTGTGAACCTTGATAATCATTCATGAGAGTAAAAGTATGTGCCCAGTTCTGGACATAAATGTATTATCCACATAGGGACATGTAGCAGAGAGAGTGTTGGACTGACGTTTAAGAGAATCAGTCCTTCATCCAAGCTTTGCAACTCAATAGTTGTGTGTGACCTAGGGAAAATAATTTCCTCAGCTCTGGGACTGGGTTTCTTTTTCTTCAAACTAAGTAAATTTAAGTTAAGGTTGCATTAAGTAGTCTCTAAGATCCCTTCTACCTCTGACATTTTATGGTTTTATGATTCAATCAATTAGTAAGAATTTTTTAAGTACCTACACTAGGCATTGTGCTAAGTGCTAAAGATACAAAGAAAGGCAAAAATATAAAAAAATACTCATTGCTCTTCAGGAGTTGACATTCGAATGCAGGAGACAGCCTGTAAATAAATGGGTAAATAAGATATATACAGAGTAAAAGCAAGGTAGTCTTAGAGGAGAAGGCATTAGCAGCTGGGGGGACCAGGAAAGGTCTCCTGTAGAAGTAGCATTTGAGGTAAATCTTGAAAAAATCCAAGGGATGTCAAGAGGCAGAGGTGAGGAAGAAGAATACTCCAAACATGGGGGAAACCAATGCAAAGGCCCAAAGAGGGGAGGTGGAGTGTTATGTGCAAGGAATAGAAAATGAACTTAAATCTCTATCATTGAGTGTGGAGGGGAGTAAAGCATGAGCAAACTGGAAAGAAAGTACAGGGTCCAGATTGTGAAGAGCCTTCATGCCAGACTGAGTACCTTATACTTGATTCTGGAGGTAATATGGAGCCACTGTAGTTTATTGAACAGGGGAATGACATGGTCAAAACTGCGTCAAAACTGAAGAGCACCCTGGCAGATGGATTGGAGAGGAGAGAGTCCAGGAATCTAATTAGAGTCAGGGAGTCCAACTAGAAGACTATTGCAGTAGTCCAGGTGAGAGATGATGAGGTTCCGAACTAGGCTGTGTGATTGGAGAGAAGGGGAAGTGTGCAAGAGATTTTGTGAAGGTAGAAATGATAAGATTTGACAACTGATCATATGTCTGGTGTAAGAGAGTAAGGAGTCAAAGAAGATGCTGAGTTTGCAAACCTGGGAAATTGAGAGGAGAGTGATGCCTTTAACAATAACAGGGACATTTAGAAAAGTGGATGATTTTGGGGAGAGAGAATGAATTTATCCTTACCTTGGGAGTTGCATGGTGTCAGAAATCTCTTCTGAGGTCTTCTCTTCACCAATTTCATTTATGTCTGTCACTGGCATATCTGTTGGTGATGTGGTTGTATATCTATTTGAGGACACTGTGGGTGCTAGGAAAAGGAAAGTTCAAATCAAGTCCAAGGCATTGTCCCTTTGTGTTTTCTCATGCAAACACTTGTATATTTCCATTTTATATAGTTTATGATTCATGACAGCAGCCAGATAGATGACTCTGAGGGTTAAGATCTGCTGGAACAGGAAGGGCTACTTTTTACCAAGCCCCACAAAATATGTCTAGATCAGGGGTTCTTAATCGGGGCTTTGTGAATTTGTTCTTAAAAATTATTTTGATAACTGTATTTTCTATACAATTGGTTTCCTTTGTAATCCTTTGTGGTTTATGTTGTACCTTTAAAAATATTACTAAGAAGGAGTCCATAGTCTTCACCAGACAGTCACAGGGATCCAAGACACAAAAACCCTCTGACCTAGACCCAGGCAAAAGGCCACTTAGATACATCTCGAGGTTCTACATCCTTCTACTTCTAAATCTTTGCCTGATGGGTTGAAGGTTAGAGGGCTTATGCAGAGAACCCTCACTAGATTGATGGGTTACTCAGTAGGGAGGAACTGGATGTTATGGTAGGGAAGAAGTCAACAGTGAGTGTTTTCAGAGAAGCCTTGAAGGCGATCAGAACAGCTTTTCTGTTGACTTTGATTCCTTTTTTTTTTCTTTTCTGGCAACAGCATATATCACTCATGGTGCAGTGACCAGTGGCATGGGCCCTTTAAGAGATCTAGGCAACCTCTTCCTTTGTTGCATCATGACAATATGATCCAATGTGGTGCATTTTTTTTTCCAGTGAGGCAATTGAGGTTAAGTGACTTGCCCAGAGTCACATAGCTAGTAAGTGTCAAGTGTCTGAGGCCGGGTTTGAACTCTGGTCCTCCTGACTCCAAGATCAGAGCTCTATCCACTGTGCCATCTAGCTGCCCTAATGTGGTGCATTGGAAAGTGTATTAGAAGGCCTGACTTTGAATCCCACTCCTGGTGCTTTTTAGCTATGGTGGTGACCTAGAGCAAGTAACTTAAACACTCTAAGACTCAGCTTCCACATCTGTTGATGGGGATAATAATACTTACGCAATTAATTACTGTATAATAACACTAGGGGAGAAAGTACTCAAAAATCTTAAAGCTCTATGGAGATGTAAGTTTTCTTTGTGGTTATGAGAATAGAAGATTGAACACATAATAAAGGAGGTGGCTAGATCCTTGGGTCTATCAAGGTTTGCAGAGAGATTATGGCTTGGTTTGGAATTTCATGGAGATAAAAATTGGGATGAGAGTTGGAGCCCAAGACTTCTCAGAGCCAGGGAACATCTCCCAGTTCTTAATTATGGTTACACCACACTACACTAGATATAATGTTCCTCTCCCTCCTCCCCGCCCAGGGGGATCATCAGCCTTTCAGGATGGAGGTGGGGTCTAGAGCAGTTCCAGGGGCACCGGGGCCACTTCTAGGTAAGTTTCCCAGCTCAGTCCATGCATATGAGGGAACAGAGTGGGACTGGAGGACTCAGCCACTCCAATACAGCTAATGCAGTGGAGGTCTTCTGGATCCCATTGATAATGACCTCAGCAACTTTGGGACTCATACCCAACCTCCATGGATAAACAGATAAATAGGTAAAAATACCTGCACCCAAGCATACACACACACATACTATCTGGAGTTGCCAGTAACTAGTTGTGGATTGTTTTTACTGCCTTAAGTTGTGGGAGTGGGATGTGGGGGATAATTCTTGGTTCCATAAGTCCTGGGGGCTAGGAGAAATATTCCTCTTACCTGGAGAAACAAATACAGTAACTGAGAATTTGATATCACTGAAACTTTGTCAATCCTACATTGGTACTCTCCTTCATCAGCTTCAGTGAGGTTTTTCATGGTCACTGTGAATGTGTGGTTTTCAGGATTGTCTCTGATGGACACTTTCGATTCTTGAGTATCCATAATTGTTCTACATAAAAATATCCAACTTTCTTTGCACCATTTTTTCTTTTCGGTCTTATAGTTTTCTTCATAGGAACACTGCACAGTCAGTGATTCTCCTACAATACCTCTCACCTCACTGGGGCCAGACAGAGACAAGCAATCTGGAAAACACAAGCTCATGTTGTCATCTCCTCATATGCAAGATTTAAACCAAAGTGGATGGTATCCCATAAGATTCTTTCCCCTTAAAGGCTTCATCAGAAACCATCACCCTAAGGCACTGGCATGAAGTAGAAGCCAGGGAGACACTGGACACTGTTATCAGATTCAGAGACAGAGAGGACGAGATAATTATGCCCAGGTCTGGGAGCTGAAGGTTAGAGTCTCTGTTCTTGTTTCTTTTGCTTTACTGAGAGAAAGCAAAAGTAGAATACTGTTCCCTCAGGAGAGATGTTAGACACCATACTACAATGATTATACTTTGTGACTTCATGTAGGAAGCTGTCTTTAGGAGACCAGGAGACAAGATGGTGAATTGGATAGAATATAAGACTAAAAAACGAGAGGCCTGAGTTCTAGCCTTAATTCTGCCACTTTGACTTTGTGAAGTCACAATTCCCCCTAACAACTATAAAATTGTATATACCTTTTGACTTAGCAATACCACTGCCAGCTCTGTATGCCGAAGAGATTAAAGAAAAAGGAAAAGGACCTATAGGCACAAAAATATTTGTAGAGGCTCTTTTATGGTGGCAAAGAATTAGAATTGAAGGGATTCCTATCAATTGGGGAATGGCTGGAGAAGTTGTGTTTATAATTATGATGGAATACTATTGTGCTAAAAGGAATGAAGGGGATGGTTTCAGAAAAATCTGAGAAGACTTATATGAACTGATGCAAAGTGAAGTGAGTAGAATTAGGAGAACATTGTACACAGTAACAGCAATATTGTAATGATGATCAACTGTTAAAGATTAGCTATTCTGATCAATACAATGATTCAAGACAATTCCAAATGACTTAGATGAAAAATGCTATTTACAACCTGAGAGAGAACTAATGAATGAACTCTTGATTTTCAAACATTTTAAAAAATTATTATTTATTTATTTTTAACATTTCTTTTTGAACTCCAAATTCTTCCCCTTCCCCTTCTATTGAGAAGGTAAGAAATATGATAGAACTTATGCACCCTGAGTGCACACTGAAGCATATTTTTTCATTTACTTTATTTTTCTTGTTTTTTTTTCTAATATGGCTAATATGGAAATATATTTTTCATGACTTCACATGTATAATTGCTATCATATCACTTGTCTTCTCAATGGGTGGAGGAAGAGCTGGAAGGAGGGAGAGAATTCAGAACTCAGAATTTTATAAAATAATGTTAAGATAAAGTATAATTATTTTTAAAATGCTAGTTTTCTTTCTTTCTTTCTTCCTTCTTTCCTTTTCCCTTCTCTTTCTTTCATTCTTCCTTCTTTCCTTTTTCCCTTCTCTTTCTTTCTTTCTTTCTTCTTTCTCTCTTTCTTCTTTCTTTCTTTCTTTCTTTCTTTCTTTCTTTCTTTCTTTCTTTCTTTCTTTCATCTTCCCTCCTTCCTTCTATTCTTATTTTTCTTTTCCTTGTGCTATCTTTTAGAGTATAATTAAGATGGTTGGGGAAGGGGTCTCTCTTCCCTTCTCTCCCCTCAAGAGCAACTAACACTGACTTGCAGCCAAGGCATGCAGCAGAGGACTTTTCTTACTATGATGTTTCAGTTTGCTTCAAACAAATCATGTCCTCTAGTTGATTGATAAATGACAGAGGCTGTTGTGTTTATGTCTAAGAAAGTAGTTCATGGACATTGTTTTTGAACCCCTAAACTCACTGTGAATGATGGAGAATTTTGAGTTCCCTTGGCAATGTGATCCCCAAATCTAACCTTTGAGCCAGAGAGGGGAAATTTCCTAGGTAGTACCAGATTTGGAAGCTACCAAATGAGTAACCTCATGGTTGAGAGTTTCTGAGTTTGAGCTTTGAGGTATCAGCTTCGTAGAGGAAGATCTCTTCTACACTGTGCTTCTTGGACAAGGAAGAGTATTGCTGATAGAGGACTCCCTTATAATTGAAAGACTAAAGTCACAGTGTGTGTGTGTGTGTGTGTGTGTGTGTGTGTGTGTGGTGTGGGTGAGGGTGGGGGTGGGGTTGGGTGGGAAAAGGGAGGGAAGAAATCCGTACCTTACTAATACTGCTTTGCTTTGAGTTACTCAGATAGTACAAGTCCATGGAAAAAGATAGCTTAGCATCTCATTCCCTAAAACATGTTGATCTTTCAGGGGCCCTCTAATAGGCCACTTTCATGTTTTAGCTGTTTCTAGGCTCTTATGAGGCATTTTCTATGGGGAACAAAATAAAAGCTGTTCCATACCCAATATACATATTGTATATTTTATGCCTCTGTAGGAGATTAAAATCTTGCTATGTAGATTTAGGAGACTTTACTTTGGAAATTTCCTCAGAATAAAACTGAAGGCAGAGTTTAGTGAGCCAAAGAGAGAAAATGATCATCCTGGGGTCAAGTCCCCAGGACTGGACTTGGTCTGTATAAGCCCAAGGTCTTGGGGGTAGGTGGATAGTAAGGGCTGGGTCATGTGTTACGTAAGGTTTATGAATTCCTGGGTAAAAAAACTAAATATTTTTAGGGAGGCAATTGTTATTTCCATTAGTATAGGTAGGGTTTCAGAAGAGAAAGTAAGTTTGAGAAATGAACAGCTAAGTTGGTATCTGAGAGTAGAAGATTTCTAGACTATGGATTAAATTATAGGAATGATGGGGCTCTTGACCATAGGTAGAGTACCAGGAATATATATTTGCCTGGAGCCTGATCAAGAGGTTATTAGGCTGAAAATGAAGAAGGAAAGGGAAAAAAATCCCAAACTAGCTACCGAGCTAGTTATTTAGAGAGTATCACATTCAACGTAGAAAAAAAATTGAAGGCTGAAACAGAAATGATTCTGGTGAGAAATAAAAGGTGGAGCTGTCTTAAGACACCATTGCGGTTTCACAAGGAAGTCATGAACAAGCTCAGTTTTTAAAAGACATATTGAAACTAAAAGAAAGAGCAGGTAATGGAATCTAAATACAACACTGTGACAAGGTCTTGGAAGAATTATGTCAGAGGCACTAAAGCCTGGAATTGGCTGTAGTTGGTAACGAGTGGTAAGGACAATGACAAAGGTTTTTTTTTTTAACTTATGAGAAGGGTAGGAGAAACATCAAAGAAGGAGTAGCACTGTTTCTGCAAGTGGATGGAAAAAATGAGAATGGAAGAAAATGAGAAAGCAGAATGACTCCATTTTAACTTTGCTTCTCAGCAAATGAATTACATTCTGGGATAGCTGTTGAAAGAACTGGCAGATGCCATTACTGAAATATTTTCAGTGATTTTTGAAAGACCATGGAGTTGAGAAAAGTGTGATTGTAGGACAAGAAAAAAGCAAATATCATAAACTTCAAAAAAGGGGTTGAATTTAGACTCTGTAAACTATAGGTCAGCAAGTCTGAATTCAATTCCCCACAACATTCTAGGATACATTACAAAAAGGATGTTTATAAACATACAAAAAGGGAAGTAGTAGCCACTGGACAAAATGGTTTCAAGAAGAACAGACTAATTTCATTTCCTTTTTGATCTAACTAGACAAACAAGTCTTTCTTTCTTTCTTTCTTTCTTTCTTTCTTTCTTTCTTTCTTTCTTTCTTTCTCTCTCTTTCTCTCTCTCTTTCTTTCTTTCTCTCTTTCTCTCTCTCTCTCTCTCTTCTTTCTTTCTTTCTTTGTTTCTTTCTTTCTTTTTCTTCTTCCTTCTTTCCTTCCTTCCTTCCTTCCTTCCTTCCTTCCTTTCTTATTTTCTTTCTTTCTTTCACCATCACTTAGCATAGTTCCTGGCACATAATAGGAACTTAATAAATACTTATTATTTGACTCACTGGAATGTACCTTGCACATAATAATAGCACTTAATAAGTGCCTAGGTGAGGTGGCAGATCAGTCATTGAATAAAGGAATGGAATTATTTACATGTTTGTCAAATTTGCAAATGACACATAATGCCTGGCACATAGTAGGTGCTTAATGAAAGTTCACTGATTGATTGATACAAAACTGGGGATGATAACAGGTTGATCGACAAAGGCCAGATACAAAAAGAAAAGAACATGTTAAAATGATGGGCCAAATAGAATTGGATGATATTTAATTCAACAACTATTTATTAAGCTCCTACTATGCACAAAGCTCTGTGACAGGCACTGGAGATACAAAGACAGAAACAGTGAAAAATAATCTCTTCCTTCAAGAAGCTTACATTCTCTTGGTGGGATTCAGCATACAAATAGGCCAATAAATACGAGATAATTTGAAGAGGAGGAGCGCACTAACAATTGGGAAAGGCTTCCTGAAGGAAATGGTGCCTGAACTGAGCTTTGAAGAAGGCCAAGGACTCTTGGAAGAAGAGGTGGGGAGGGAGTAACATTCTAAGCACAAGAAGTAGTTTGGACAAAGGCAAGGAGGCATAGAGGCAATGGAAGGCTATGTAATCCAGTTTGGTCAGAATCTAGAATTCATGAAGTAGTGCGATGTGTGATGTCCAGAAAGGAAGGCTGGTGCCAAACTGTGAAATGCTTTAAATGCTTGTGTGAATAGCTTGTATTTATTTCCTAGAGTCAATAAGGCACCAGCCACTGGAGGCTTTTGAGCAGGTGAGTGGCATGGGCAGGCCAGTGAATGAGGATTCTTATTATCATGGAAGCTGTGTGGTGGCTTGATTGGAGAGGAAAGAAAATGGTAATATGGAGACTAATTAATTAGAAGCATATTGCAGTAGTCTAGGCTACAAGTGACAAAGGCCTTGACTAACATCAATCATTTGAGTGGAAAGAAAGCACTGGATACAAGAGATATGATGAAAGAGGGATCAACAAGATTTGGTAACTAATTGGATATGGGGGTTGGAGGAGAGGGAAGAGTGAATCCCTTTCCTTCGATTAAAATGATTGTAATTCTAAAAAGCTGTACGTCTTTTCAATTCACATCCACTCTCTGGAACTCAATATACCCTTCTATAAAAATGAAGGCATAAGATTCTATCCCAAATACTCCTAGTATGCCAAAGTTCAGTGAAGGTGTATTCAGAAGGTGATAGAAACCTATGTTCCCTGGTGATGTAAATCTAGATAAGTGTAAATGTAATGTGTAAATGTGTAAATGTAAAGTGATGTAAATTGAGATAATCTAGATAAAAATGGTTCTATTCTTAAGAGTAAGTGTAAGTAAAGTCCTATACTAAGGTTTTTTAAAAATTAAATTAATTTTATTTTTAATTTATGCAATAAAACAAACATTTCAATAACATAGTATAATAAAAAGATTACTGCACATGAAACTGAAAATCTATTATGTACAACTTGCAATTCCTTTTAAATATGTAGTAAAGTTATCATGCAAATTTTTTTTCTTTTTCTTCTTTTACTTTTTTTTTTCTTTCCCCTACCCCCTTCTACTCCCACCTCCATCCTAGAGATGGCTACCATTAGGCACACATAGGTATATATATATATGTGTGTGTGTGTGTGTGTGTGTGTGTGTGTATGTGTGTGTATGTATACATGTATACCTGTATATATGTAAAATTATACTTAGGTTTAAAAAAATAAATTTACAGGTATGAGATGAAAGAGATAAGTTAAGACAACTGTGTGAATGAAGAAACCAAAAAGAGTCAATAGGGTGACATGGGAGCCAAAAAGATTGTTCTTCTCAAGCTCCCTTAGGAGAGGCAGAGGAAACTCTGACTGCCTAACTGGGCTCAGCTGTGGTCAGACCAGTGACACCAGTCTCCTCACTGGTTCTCCCACAGGACACTCCATTTCCCAGCTCTGAGCACTTTCACCAGCCTGCAATGCTTTCCTTTTGAAATCTCTGCATCCTGGCTTCCCTGTTTCCTTCAAGTCCCAGTTAAAACCCAGGAAGCCTTTCCTGATCCCTCTTATTTCTAGGAGCTTCCTTCTGTCGATTATTTCCAATTTGTCCTGTCCATGGCTTTGTTCGTACTCAGTTGTTTGTATGTTCTCTTCCTCATTAGAGTGTGAGCTCCTTAAGAACAAGGACTATCTTTCACCTTTCTTCGTATTCCCAGCCCTTAGCACAGAGCCTGGCACATAGTAGGAACTAAACAAATGTTTATTGGGTGCCTGACATTTTAAGAAAGAGACTGACAAACTGGAGCATATTCCAAGGAGCTCAAGGTGGTCACTCAGTATTTCTCTCCAAAGCTTTCTCTTGCTTCCACAAAGCCAAGTCAGTTTCCAGAGTCTGAGTCCAGGTACATATGGACTTCTCTGAGTATATTCTCTTTTCTCTGGTGTGGATCTATCTGTCTCTGGTCCGTTCTAAGTTCTGTATGGAGCTCGGTTCCTAGCTTTTCCTCCTAGAATCTGCCACTGGCTCCTCTCCCCCTGCCCTTGCCAGAGGGACTTTCTAATGATTTGCCTCACTCACCTATTGGGCAAAGGAATAGCAGGAGTGAAGGTAGTGGCAGCAGCAGCAGCGGGAGCTTCTCTTGTATGCTCATTTCTCCACTGGGCTCTCACACCACTTTCTCTTCAGTTCACTTTTACAATCCTTGTGATTCATGTGTTCCGGAAAACACTTAAGTTCCTCCATGCCTCTGGCTTAGGTTTCTGACTTAAAACTTTAAAAAAAATATCATGCTTCCTGTTTTTCTGTAACTGTTTAGTGGTAAGACATCTATGTAGTTGTTCAGAGGTAAAGAGAAAGGGGGAGAGAATAAGCATTTATATGGTGCCTACTATGTCCCAAGCCCTGGATTAGGCACTGGATTTGAAAGTTAACTGAGAATGAAAGTTACCGGGAGGGGAAGGCTCAGTGTGAGCGGTTAGAAAAAAGGGTGGAAATAGGTTGTGTTTGGAGAGGAAGAGAAAGGAAGGAAATGAGCATTTCTATAACATTTACTATGTGCCAGGTTCTATGCTTGCACAGGTTCTAGATAATGGTTGATGCTCTTGCACTTTCCCAGTCAGCAATGGAGTAAAGCAGGACTTGCTCCCATCTTTTTAAGCATGTTTTTAGAGATGTTTGTTGTCAGCTGCCTTCAATGAGGACAAAAACAGCATCAAAGTCAGCTACTGCACTATCGGTAAGCTATATAACTTGAAAAAGCTACAAGCCAAGATTAAAGTGGAGGGAGAGTTGGTACATGACTTTTTGTTCACAGATGATTGTGCACCCAATGCAGCCTCTGAGGCTGAGGTGCAACAGAGTATGGATTGAATTTCTACTGCTTGTGTTAATTTTGGTCTGACAATGAACAGAAATGGGATTTGAACTCAGTTCTTCCTGACTCCAAGTCCAACATGCTGTCCATTAGGCTACCTACTTGTATCATGTAATGGGACTGCTTCTTCCTCAATGGACCCAGCAGCAACTTCCTACAGGATGTGTCATTCCTTTATGGCCATGATAAACATCCCTGTAGGGAGGCTTCTGCAATTCTTTTGCTCTCAGAGATACATAGCTCAGGCTGTGTCATTGTCTGGGTTGCCATCAAACACGGCAGCCCTTGCTAAACTCTCCTTCCTTTGAACTCTAAGAAGACAGCATTTGTTCAATAAGATGTGTTCATGTTCATATGTATTCAATCATTTTTCAGTCATGTCTGACTCTCTGTGTTCCCTTTTGGGGTTTTATTTGCAAAGATACTGGAGCAGTTTGCCATTTCCTTCTCCAGCTCATTTTACAGATGAGGTAACTGAGGCAAGCAGGGTTAAATGACTTGCCCAGTGTTACACAGCTAGTAAGTGTCTGAAGCCAAATTTGAACTCAGAAAGAGGAGTCTTCCTGATTCCAGGCTCAGCACTCTATCCACTGTGCCACCTAACTGCCTCTCAACAAGACAGCCTGCACTATAGTCCTTAAATATTTTCATGTCTGGCAGTTGTGTATTGCCACTAGATTGTGAGTTCCTTGAGCAGGGAGACTATGTCTCTCTTCCAGGCATGTGTCTTCTCTGTCTCCTCAATTTTTCAGTCCCTAGCATTTTGCTGAGTCTTTGATAAACGCGTAAGCAATGCTTAATCAATTAAATTTCATTGGTATGCTAAGGAAGGTTTTCACATTCCTGTTTTCTTCTTGGAAGTATATGGAGTTATGCTACATTTGAGAAAGATATTCCTTTAAAAAGGAAAGCTAGGCAGCTAGATAGTCCAGTGGGTAGATTGCTGGGCCTGGAGTTAGGAAGACTCAAGTTCAAATCCAGCCTCAGACACTTACTAGCTGTGTGACCCTGGGCAAGTCATTTAACTTCTGTTTGCTTTAGTTTCTTCATCTGTAAAATGGGAATTATAATTGCACCTACCTTGTAGGGTGGTTGTGGGGATCAAAGGAAATAGTAATTGTAAAGTGCTTAGCGAAAGTAAAACCATTTCCTGAAGGAAAGAGCTGAAGGAATTAATTGGAGACAAAGTCAAGTCTTCAGGGAGGAGTTGGGAAAGAGTAGTTCTTTTCACATAAGAGCCAAAGTTAGAATTGCTGACTATCCCAAGTGTCATCTACCTTCTTTCCGACCATATGCAGATACAACCCACCTGATTCTTAAATATGAACAGACCCAGCTCAATATAGGAGACATCAGAAATAATAATATACCCTAGGGCAGCTAGGTAGCATAGTGGGTAGAGTACTGGGCCTGAAGTCAGGGTGACCTAAATTCAAATCCATCATTAGATAGTTATTAGCTATGTGACCCTAAGCAAGTCATTTAACCTCAGTTTCCTCATCTGTAAAACAGGGACAACAATAACACCTATCTTCCAGGGTTTTTGTTAGGATCAAATGAGATAATAATTATAAAATGAGCTATTATTATTATTATTATGGCTAAAAACCACACCTAGGGTTACATTAGAAGAATTCCGTTTTGATTCATTTCTAGCATTTGTCTAAGGCAGGAGTTCTTATTCTTTTCTTTGTCACAGACCCCTTTGTCAGCCTGATGAACCCTATGGACTCCTTATCAGAATAATGTTTAGGGGCAGCTAGGTGGCACAGTGGATAGAGCACTGGCCCTGAAGTCAGGAGTACCTGAGTTCAAATCCAGCCTCAGACCAAACACTTGACACTTACTAGCTGTGTGACTCTGGGCAAGTCACTTAACCCCAACTACCAAAAAAAAAAAAAGAATAATGTTTGAAAACAATTAAAGGAAATGTTGAATTTTAATTCGAAGTTAAGATTTTTTTTCTTCCATCTAAATTCATGGGCCCCCTGAAATCTATCCATAGATCTGTTGACCCCAGGTTAAGAACCCCTAGTCTAAGGTACCTTCAATTCCTTGCCAGCACCAAGTTAAGAAGTCAAAGAACATAGAACAGATTTATTATCCACAATAAAAAATATAAAAAGAACCCACAGATTGGAGAGAATCTTTCCCTCCAATGATTCCTCCCCAGGGGCATACAAAATTGCTCAAAGCTTAGAATACCTCCATGCCTTGGTTCCTCCATTCAGGGAAGAATGTAGGTTACTAGAAAGTGTGGCAAACCCTCCCTGTGGTGAGTCCCACCTTCTTTCAGGGCCTGCTTAGTCCTCATGACTTACAGTAAAAGGCAAGGTATAGGTTGCTTCTCCACACTGAAGCTCTGTGCCTCTCTGCTCCTCAGCTCTACCTCCTATGCTTCCTTGGCATGGTTTAGTAACTCCTTCTCTACTTCACTGCTGCCACTCTGCCCAGGATCTATTCCTCTCAATCCTTGGAAGCACCATTGATGTGCTGCTATTACCTTCATGTCCATAGTTACCCTCTCCTTCATGTTTCTTCTGCTGCCACCATTGTTTACTCAGGCAAGTGGCAGAACTCTTTTGGAATGAGATTGTCCAGGCTACCATGTCTCAGAGATGGTCAATATGTTTTCTGCTGTGTTGTTAGTTGAGACTATAACCTCAGTAGACACCCTAAAGGGTCTCTCAGTCAACTTTCAAGGCCTTGAGGTTTGCGCATCTCATTAGATAGTCCCCAACCCTTCTTTCTAGCTGAGCTAGGGCAACTTCATTTCACTCACCTCTTCCTTTTCTTAGGGCTTATACACAGTCAGCCAAGGTCTTCCACTGCTTCTGGGGCCATCTCCAGTTATCCTGCTGTATGTCTGGCCACTGGACCCAGATGGCTCCAGAGAAGGAGAGCCTGGTGACTTTGCACAGTTCTCCCTCACTTAAATGCAATTCACTTGCATGTCATGGCATCACCTCCATGATGCCATGGTCCATTTCAAAAAGGACAAACAACAACAAAAACACACAGTCGGCATCTCCCACTGAATCTTTTTGTGGCTAGGGTAAAAATTCATGTCCCTTTTCATTTATTTACTTCTTATCATCCCTATTATGACTAATGGCAACTATTCAGATTCCCTCGAGGCTCAGATAAGAAAGGATTAGGATAAGGAAGGGGGAGGCTGCCAATCATTCCAGTATTCCTAGACTGTGGCAAAGGCTTGTGTCCTCATTAGCCTGGTATTTCTTTTTTTTTTTGTTAATTTGTTTTTTAGCCTGGTATTTCTAAGCTCAAATCCAGCCTTAAACACTTATTAGCTGTGTGACCCTGGGCAAGTCACTTAATCCTGTTTGCCTCAGTTCCCTCATCTATAAAATAAGCTGAAGAAAGAAATGGCAAACTACTCCAGTATCTTTGCCAAGAAAACCCCTTATTTAAGGTTACGAAGAGTCAGACATGATTCAGAAACAACAAGGTATAGGGTAGGGAAGACTTGTTTCCAGTCACATATCTATGTGTAAAATAGGTTTGCTGATGGCCATAAATACAAAATAAAGGCAGAAATGCCTGGGCTGGAGGAAGACAGTAGCCTTGCTCCCTGGGTTTAGTACTTTTTCCTATGCTTTCTCCAGGCCTTCTTTTTCCCCCTCCCTCCAACTAATTTTTGTGGCAGGCTCAATGAGTTTTGGAAGTAAAAAAAAAGAGGATAACCACAAGAGCCCTTGACTATTGGTTAGCAGGGCAGCCTCTAAAATAGATATTTACTCAAAGCAATTTGACAATTGGGTACAGTTTAAATAGGGAACCAAAAGGAATTTCTAATCCTAAATCAGAGCAAAGCTTCTAAATATTTTTATTCTTTCTTTTTTTTTGGGGGGGGGAAGTCTAGGCAATGGGGTTAAGTGACTTGCCCAGGGTCACACAGCTAGTAAGTGTTATGTGTCTAAGGTCAGATTTGAACTCAGGTCCTCCTGAATCCAGGGCCAATGCTCTATCCACTGCGCCACCTAGCTGCCCCTTAAATATTTTTATTTAACTGTTCCCATGTGTAAGCCTTAACTCTTCAGTGAGATAATGAGCTCCTCAGAGGCATGTGGTACAAAGAATACTGGATTGGGAGTTAAACACCTGAAGATCTGATTTAGGCTCTGTTATTCCCTAGTAGGTTGACCTTAGGCAAATCATTGTCTCTTCTTGCTCCTCAGTTTCTTACTCTGTATAAGGGGTAGTGGTAAGGAATTGGATGGTAGGAATGTACTGTTTTGGTAATGTGGGCCAAATTGATTTCAGAGGACCTGGGTTGAAACATAGCATCCAAATGTATGACTTTTTATAAGTCACTTGACCTCTATGGACCTCAGTTTCCTCAACTGTAAAATGAAGTGGTTGAATTAGATAACTTC